GACTCACATAGCTGTACCATACTTACTATAGAAATATTAACTACTTAACACACACCTGGTTAGTTTGAATTGACTCACACAGCTGTACCATACCTACTAGAGAAATATTAACTGCTTAACACACACCTGGTTAGTTTGAATTGACTCACATAGCTGTACCATACTTACTATAGAAATATTAACTACTTAACACACACCTGGTTAGATTGAATTGACTCACATAGCTGTACCATACTTACTATAGAAATATTAACTACTTAACACACACCTGGTTAGTTTGAATTGACTCACATAGCTGTACCATACTTACTATAGAAATATTAACTACTTAACACACACCTGGTTAGATTGAATTGACTTACATAGCTATACCATACTTACTATAGAAATAGGTGTGTGTTAAGTAGTTAATGGTTAGTTTGAATTGACTTACATAGCTATACCATACTTACTATAGAAACATTAACTACTTAACACACACCTGGTTAGTTTGAATTGACTCACATAGCTATACCATACTTACTTTAGAAACATTAACTACTTAACACACACCTGGTTAGATTGTTTCTATAGTAAGTATGGTACAGCTATGTGAGTCAATTCAAACTAACCAGGTGTGTGTTAAGTAGTTAATGAATTGACTCACATAGCTATACCATACTTACTTTAGAAACATTAACTACTTAACACACACCTGGTTAGATTGAATTGACTTACATAGCTATACCATACTTACTTTAGAAACATTAACTACTTAACACACACCTGGTTAGTTTGAATTGACTCACACAGCTGTACCATACTTACTATAGAAACATTAACTACTTAACACACACCTGGTTAGATTGAATTGACTCACATAGCTATACCATACTTACTATAGAAACATTAACTACTTAACACACACCTGTTAGATTGAATTGACTCACATAGCTGTACCATACTTACTTTAGAAACATTAACTACTTAACACACACCTGGTTGGCTTGAATCGACTCACATAGCTCCACCACAAACCAGATCTTTGCTTTACACGGATTGAGCATGTATTCATCCATCATCTCACTCAAGATACGACTCTTTCCTTCCGCTTCAGGATTGGATCCCATGATTTTTGCCCCACACTTATATGATGCATAGTTCTGTTTTCTCTTATGGGCTGCAAGTTTCTTACCTGGAACAAAGTCTTGAACCAATACAATACCTTGAAAAAATAAACATTAACCAGATAGATAAAAACAAGAAGATACAATACCTTGAAAAAATAAAAAATAACCAGATAGATAAAAAACAAGATACAATACCTTGAAAAAATAAAAATAACCAGATAGATAAAAACAAGATACAATACCTTGAAAAAAAAATTAACCAGATAGATAAAAACAAGAAGATATAATACCTTGAAAAAATAAACATTAACCAGATAGATAAAAACAAGACATAATATCTTGAAAAAAATTAACCAGATAGATAAAAACAAGACATAATATCTTGAAAAATAAACATTAACCAGATAGATAAAAATAAGAAGATATAACACCTTCAAAAAATAAAAATTAACCAGATAGATAAAAATAAGAAGATGCAATACCTCGAAAAAATAAAAATTAACCAGATAGATAAAAAACAAGATATAATTCCTTAAAAAATAAAAATTAACCAGATAGATAAAAACAAGAAGATACAATACCTTGAAAAATAAAAATTGACCAGATAGATAAAAAACAAGATATAATACCTTGAAAAAATAAAAATTAACCAGATAGATAAAAACAAGAAGATACAATACCTTGAAAAAATAAAAATTAACCAGATAGATAAAAACAAGAAGTTACAACACCTTGAAAAAATAAAAATTAACCAGATAGATAAAAACAAGAAGATATAATACCTTAAAAAATAAAATTAACCTGATAGATAAAAACAAGATAATACAATAACTTGAAAAATAAAATTAACCAGATAGATAAAAATAAGATAAAATACCTTGAAAAAATAAAATTAACGAGATAGATAAAAACAAAATATAATACCTTGAAAAATAAAAATTAACTGGATAGATAAAAACAAGATACATTACCTTGAAAAAATAAAAATTAACTAGATAGATAAAAACAACATACATTACCTTGAAAAAATAAAAATTAACTAGATAGATAAAAACAAGATACAATACCTTGAAAAAATAAAAATTAACCTGATAGATAAAAACAAGAATATACAATACTTTGAAAAAAAAAAATTGACAGCTCCAGTTGCTTCCCAGCCCTCTTCTTTTATTTGAAGGTCACAAAGTGAATACTTGTCATAATTTATACAGTGTCTGTGCAATATGTAAAGACTGACTTGTACTTACTGAAGCACCAAATAAACTAAACATTATATTATCCTTAATAATGCATTTGAAAACCAAAAAGAAAAATTTATGGAACATGTGTTAAATCAATAAATACCTTCTCTCTCTTGCTCTGCCAACATTTTTTTTTTCCATTCATCAAACGAAGGCATGACATCTGGTTCTGACCGAGGAGTGTCTGTAGACTTCTCCTGGTCTGTTTTCACACCTTTTTCAAATTCAACTGGCCATTTTTGCTGCATTTTATTGCCAACACCTTGAATGTTCTTGTCTTGATTTTCTCTGTCAACAAAGGATATTACAAATTACTAATACCATGTAATTCTGACAGTAAACCACACACAGAACTGAAGATTGTGATCTTACTCCTATATATATACTGCTCAACGTGGTTAACTCCATGTAAACCCTAGATTAACAAGTTAACAGTGCTTATAAACCCAAACTAAAATACTCTGTGATGTAACACACAGCATCAAACAATGTTAAGCATACTTTTCAGATATCAACAATATGGTTATTAATATCACATTTTGAAATATTTTATCAAGAGGTAAAACCAAATGGAGTAGTTTGTAGACAATGGATCATATTAAGAGTAGTATTGTAGTTTCTTCACACATTAGGGTTAGAATATTTTGAATCATTTGATATTTTCAGAACTCATCACAATATGTATTTCTTGGATATTATCACCAATTTGTTACTTTAAAAAATATATAATATTAAAATTAAAATAATACATATTTCCAGCAGATGGCATTGCAACTACAAACTATCATAAGAGCATGAAAGTGAAAATGTGGTCACTATTTAAGCTTAGGTAGTGAGATTAAAGTTAACATGAGTTATCCAATGTCTAACTAATAGAATTGATTAGTTAATGGCTTTAGAATAATAAATTCTCAATAATATTCTGTTCTTTTTACTTTAATATGATGTTACTGAAACACAAATTCATCATTAATGAAAACATGTGCATGAATTAAAGTTTAGGTCTATTTATGATTTTACCAAGACACCAATTCACCTTTACTGGCTGTATTGTAGATAATTTCTTTATTGGCTGTATTGTAAATAATTTCTTTATTGGCTGTATCATAATTAATTTCTTTACTGGCTGTAAAATGAACAACTTCTTTATTGGCTGTATCATAATTAATTTCTTTACTGGCTGTATTGTCAATAATTTCTTTATTGTGTTATTAAGAGCTTCCAAATCATTATATTTACTGAGATTTCTAAATATTCTAACCTAACTCCTTTTAACTGTTTGCTCAACTTTAAATTCCCATTAACATTTCTAAAAGTAACTTTACAACTGGTTGCTTTGACTTTAATTACAGATGGTGCTCAAGTTATTGTTTGATACTGAACTTCATGGTATTTCTCAGATATTCTACGTGAGCCAACTCACTTGTCTATCACAGAATGAAGACCATTTTCTTCTTCTTCATCAGTAAGTGTCTGCCTTGTTGGTTTTTCATCTTTAGACAGATACTTAGCACCATCCGAATGTTCATCAGCGAATTGACTGGAATTCTTGGTTTGTAGAGGCTGCATTTCTTGCTTTAGATCACTGAAAAAGAATTACAAACAAATTTTATAGAGATTTTGTTTGTCCGCAACCTAAAAGGTCCATTCAGTAACAACAACTAAAGCTTTACAGACTTCCATTCAGTAACACCAACTAAAGCCTTACAAACATCTATTAAGTAACACCAACTAAAGCCTTACAAACTTCTATTAAGTAACACCAACTAAAGCCTTACAAAC